TGAGATGGAGCAGAAGCAGAGGGCAGAGGGGCAGAGCGAGGAGAAGGGGTAGCGAGATGCTCAGAGAGGCGCTTGCGGGTGCTCTCGAGGGATTCAGAAAGAACACGAGCGAGGTCACGGGCAGCAGCATTGTCAGGAGCAGCCGCGGCAGTGGTTTGGGCCGTGGCCGCAATCCGCTCAGTTTCAGCGATAGCAGCACGAAGGCCATCAGCATAGGGATCGGAGGAGGTAGAGGTAGGTGTAGAGGCAGGTTTAGGAATGGCGCCAGAGCCACTCTGCTGAGTGACAAACCAGAGGTTAAAGCCACTCACGAGGGTGCCAGACAGCGTGCGCTCAAGACAGTTCAGCCAACTGGGGAAGTTGACTGCGCTGCCATCAGGCGCGAGCTGAAGGACCAGCAGAGGGAGGGAGGGGAGGGCGAGAGAAGTCGCCATAAGGAGGAGGAGACAGCTGCAGAGCAGATGAGGGGAGAGGTATAAGAGGCGGAGGAATAAGGGGCGAAGCAGTCTGCTGCTGAGCCGCTGAGGGGAGAAAACAAGAGGAGGAGGGATATGGACGGAGTAGTCTGCTGCTGAGCCGCTGAGGGGAGAAACAAGAGGAGGAGGAATAGTGGGGGAGTAGTCTGCTGCTGCGCCGCTGAGGGGAGAAACTAGAGGAGGAGGGATAGTGGCGAGGTAGTCTGCTGCTGCGCCGCTGAGGGGAGAAACTAGAGGAGGAGGGATAGCGGCGAGGTAGTCTGCTGCTGGGCCGGTGAAGGGAGAAATAAGAGGAGGAGGGAGAGTTGTGAGGGAGTTCGCAGTTGAGCAGTTGAGGGGAGGGTAGTGAGGAGGAGGAAAGGTGGGGAGGAGTACCAACTTAAAAAAAAAGCGCAATCAACACCAGCTGCAGCAGATGAGGAGAGAAAAGAGGTGGAGGAAAACGGGTGAGATAGTGAGGGATGCACAAAGGAGAGAGGAAAGGAGGAGGAGGGTAAGGGAGGGAGGGCGGATTGTGAAAGGGCAGGGCGCGCCGCAGGGGAGGCAGGCGCGCGCGCTGCTCGACGAAGCGAAGCGCGCGCTGCGACGGCAGCACAATGCGCACGCGACGAGACGGGAGAAGGCGCGGAGCCGGGGGGGGGGGGGGGGGGGGGGGGGGGGGGGCGCGCGCTACAAGCAGAAATCGGCGCGCTACCACCGGGAACGTGAAGAGGAAGAGGCGCGACGAAGAGGGAAGGCGCGGGGGAGCGATATGAACGGGAGGGAGGCGCGCTACGGAGCGGAATTGAGTATCCGCGTGACTAAAGTGAAGAAAATCGCGAGGATACTAAGAGTGACTGTAAAGAAACGAGAAAATTAAAAAAAAAGGAAAATCGTCTAGCTAAGTAGCGCGGAAATGGCCTAAGGGCCAGAAACTTTCTAAGAGATGCGGATAAAACGGAAACGCCTAGGACTAGGCTCTGAATACCATGTTAAAGTAAGGAAAGCCATGGATGGCGAGAGGCTTTGGTGAGGTTGAAGAAGTTGAACTAGGAGGAGAATGTCGAGATACAAAAGAGAGAGGGTTGGAAACCCTAATTGAACCTAGGGTGTGTTCGGTTTGTTCTAACAATTATGAAATGAACCTAAAATGAACCTGAGTGCGTAACTCGCTCTAAGCCCAGAGAAATAACAATATAAGAACACCAAAATAAAGGCCAGAGCGAGCTCTAGCCTACTCCAACACCCACCCCTTGCTCTCTGGTGACACTCCGAGGTGAAGACACCAACGAGCCTTCGGCGCAAGCTTCCCGCCGCGCTGCTGCTCGGGGACCATGAACTGCACCATGCAGCCCCACACGCGCGCCAGTGTCAGATCCGGCTTCGTTCCGAATAGCAGCTCGTGCGGCGTAGTCCTTTTCGGCAGAAGAGCCCGCTCGAGACAGTTGCGCACCCACATGGCCTGTTGCAGAGCGAGGTGTCACCAATGATGCTTCACGCCCATGTGCAGAAGCATCGTACGCACGGCCTCGACCACCGTGCGCATCTCCCGCTCGGCCATCCCGTTCTGCTGCGGAGTGTAGGGGCACGTCAGATTGTGGATGATGCCTTTGTCCTCGACGAGGTCAGTGAAGGCGCGATCGAGGAACTCCCCTCCACGGTCCGAACGCAACTTCTTCACCGTCTTCGACGTCTGCCGCTCCACCTCCTTCAACCATTTTTTGAAGACGACCAGCACGTCGCTCTTCTTCGCGATCGGCCTCACCCATATATAGCGCGTCTTCCTGTCCTTCAAAAGCAGGAAGTAGAGGCTGCCATTGGTGGCGGCTACTCGGAACGGCCCGCAGAGGTCGAGGTGCACCACGTCGAGTGTGTTCTTGGCGTCCGATCCTTGGTCGGGGAAGGTGTGCCGTGCAAGCTTGCCGCCGACGCAGGAGGCACACGGCAGATCATCTGCGGTCGACTTCTTGATGTCCAGACCGGTGGCGACCTCATGCTTCGCCGAGCTCTTGATCGTGTCGATGCTGACGTGCGCAAGGCAAGCGTGCAACTTGTATGGGGTAGACTTCGTTGCCGACGCGATCGTCCGCAGAGCCACAACCTCCGTCGAAGTCGCCGTCGACTTCGTCGAGCAGGGGCGCAGGTCCGTGCACAGAACTCTGCCAGAGTAGCGTGCGCGACCAACGACATCACCGGCGGAAAACACCAGCAGCATCTCTGCGCCGTCGTCCTGTAGCTTCACGCCATTCTCCTTAAGCTGGCCGGAAGACAGCAAGTTCGCCTGGATGCCTGGAACGTAGAGCACATCAAGGACGAGAATCTGCTTCCCCGTCTCCCCTTGCAGAGCGACGGTGCCACGGCCTTCGACGTTCTGCAGCGCCCCGTTGAAGCCACGCACATGCTTGACATCGCCGCGAGGCTTCATCTCGACGAACGCCTCCTTCGTCCCCATCAGATGGTGGGAACAGCCGCTGTCGAGCAGCACCACTGTTGGGTTCTCCTGCACAGCAGCGGCGACGGCCTTGAAATCTTTGCCAGCCTCTAGCGCCAGCGAAATCGTCGACTCCACCACGCCGACCGTCGAGCACGAAGCCTCCTCGCCACGAACATTGCTGCCAGAAGAGTCAGCATCCTTCGTCGAAGCCGTCTTCGACGCCTGCTTCTCCTTGCGCGGCTGGTTCTCTTGACGACGACGGCCACCATCAGAATTTCTGCGGTTGGCGTCCCGGTCATCGTCAGAATCGTTTCGGTCGGGGCAGTCATACGAGAGGTGGTCGGGAGCATCGCAGATGTAGCAACGGCGGCCTTCTCGACGCGAGCCACTGCTGCCGCGATCTCCTCCTTTCGCCGATTTTCCGCGATCGGCTCCATCGCTCGATTTCGCATTCGACGATTTCCCGCCACCGCCTCCGGCAGACTTCCCACGCTGCCCCTGTTGGCGTCTCTGCTTTGCCGGGGCGACGTAGTTGGCCTGCGGAAGCAGTTCTGCGGACCTCTCGGACTCCTGCATAAACTCGTCGTTGATGATCTGGCTCGACAGCGTGTCCTCGTTGAGCGACTCATGTGCGTCAGGCATCGCCAGCATCTGACGCATCAAATTGTAGCCCGTCGGCAGACCCTTGAGGACGTGCGTGTCAAACATTATATGTGTTGTGTTTGTTTAGGCTACAGTGGGTTAGCCTATAGGGGGTACACAATTCTAGGGTTAGGTACTTGTACTGATTTCACTGTTAGTTCAATCATTCCTGTCCGTTCATTCTGACATGGTTTCAGAGCAGGTCCTTCGCTAGGACCGTTTTTTTTAGGGCCCACCGCTACCTACCTACCTACCTACCTACCTGCGCCCTAGGGCGCCTCGTTTTTCACGGCCCCCTAAGGCCCCGTCAGCCCACGCGCCCGCCCCTTACGGCCCCGCGCTCGCCCCTTACGGCCCCGCGCACGCTCCTTACGGCCCCGCGCCCGCCCCTTACGGCCCCGCGCTCGCCCCTTACGGCCCCGTCGGCCCCGCGCTCGCCCCTTACGGCCCCGTCGGCCCCGCGCTTGCCTCCCTTGAGGCCCCCCGTCGGCCCCGCGATTGCCCCTTACGGCCCCGTACGGCCCCGCGCTAGCCCCTTACGGCCCCGTCAGCCCCGCGCTCGCCTCTCTAGAGGCCCCCCCCCTGTCGCGCCGCTGCCGCTGCCGCCCGTGCGCCTCAGCTGCTGCTGCCGCCCGCGCGCCGCTGCCGCTGCCGCCCGTGCGCTGCTGTCGCGCCCGCTGCTGCTGCCGCCCGTGCGCCGCTGCCGCGCCCGCTGCCGCTGCCGCCCGTGCGCCTCAGCTGCCGCTGCCGCAGTCGCGCCCGCTACCGCTGCCGCCCGTGCGCCGCTGCCGCTGCCGCAGTCGCGCCCGCTACCGCTGCCGCCCGTGCGCCGCTGCTGCTGCTGCCACCTGTGCGCCGCTGACACTGCCGCCCGTGCGCTGCTGCCGCTGCCGCTGTCGCGCCCGCTGCCGCTGCCGCCCGTGCGCCTCAGCTGCACGCCGGCCCGTTGACCCCGCGCACAGCTTCCCAGCGGCCCCTTTCCTACTGTTCCTACCGCTACCGCTACTGCTGCTGCTACTACTACTACTGCCACTATGGCCACTCCTCCTGTATTCGCTTTCGATGCTGAGGGCCGTCCAGTGAAGTTCGACACCTGGCTAGATGACCTGCACCTCTTCCTACAGCTCACTACCAAGGAGGATATTTCACTGTACGATCATGCCCTCGGCCATGCTACTGCCCCTCCTTCCACTGCTGACAGCACTCAGCGCTCACAGTGGCAGACTCGTGACGCCCACGCTCGCTTTGCCATTCGCAACTCCCTGCCGCTAGATGAGCGCGAGCACTTTGGCCAGCACAAAACTGCTAAGGACCTGTACACTGCTGTCGTCGCTCGTTACTCCTCACCTGCTTCTGCCGCACTAGGCCGCCTCTCACTCCCCTACCTGTTCCCCGACCTGGCCTCCTTTCACACAGTTGCTGACCTCATCACCCACCTCAAGACTAGTGAGGCCCGCTTCCGCGCTGCTATGCCTGACGAGTTCCTTGCTAGCAACCCCCCCCCCGCTCTGGCTCACTCTCTACCACATCGTCACCCGCCTTCCTGACTCTCTGCGCGCAGTCAGGGATCACTTCCTAGCTCGCTGCCCCACTGAGCTCACCATTGCCCTCCTCGAGAAGGAACTCCTTGCAGCTGAGGCGAGCATCGTCGCTGTAGGTGCCTCTCGTGGCGAGCCCCGCACCCCTTTCTTTGAGGGGTGTTCCCCTTCCCCCCTTCTCCCCTCTGTCACCTCTGCTGCTGCTGTCGACCTCCTTGGTGCTGAGAAGGTCGGGACCGCGTCTGCTCCGAGCGGGCGCCGCAGGAACAAAGGGGGCAAGGGTGGAGGTGGCGGCGGGGGAGGCGGGGGTGGAGGCGGTGGGAGTGGAGGAGGGGCTGGAGAGGCTAGTGGCGGCAGTGGTGGAGGTGGTGACGGCAGCGGCGGAGGCGGTGGCAGGGGCGGGGGCGGCAGCGGGGGCGGAGGTGGTCGTGGCAGCGGCAGAGGAGGAGGTGGTCGAGGAGGTGGCGGCGGCGGTGGTGGTCGTGGAGGCGCTGGCGGTGGTCTGAGCCAGCAGCACACTCCGTCGCTCCAGGAGGCCCGTGAGTGGTATGCCCAGCGCCCGGGGGCGCGTGGCTTTAGCTGCACGTACGTCATCCGCACTGGTGACCGCACTGGTCAGACGTGTGGGAGGCCGCACCCCACGCACCGCTGTTTCTCGCGCCTTGACGACGCTTGGCGCGCTCAGTTCCCTGACGGCGCTGAGCTGCCCCGCTGGCTTGATCTGGAGAGGAAGGGAGTTGATATCTGGGCTCTAGACTTTGATGCTATTCTCACTGCCATGTATGCGATGTTTACTAGTGGAGAGGGTGCTCAGTACTTGCGTGTTCCGCCCGACCCGGGCATTCTGACCAGTGAGGCTGCTGCTCTAGGTGCTAGTGAGACTGCCACTGCAGGTACTCGCGTGTCTGCCACCTCAGGTGATGGTGAGGCTGTCGCTCTAGGTGCTAGTGAGTCTGTCTCCCCTGGTACTGAGTCGACTGAGGCACTGCACACCTTCACCCTGGACTCAGGTGCTTCTCGCTGTTTCTTTCGTGACCGCACTGCCCTTGAGCCGCTTGCTCGGCCAGTTGCTGTCTCCCTCGCTGACCCCTCTGGGGGTCCGGTCATTGCGACCTCCTCCACTGTTCTTCCCTATCCTGCGGTCCCGTCAGGCACACTGTCAGGTCTCTACCTCCCCTCGTTCTCTACGAACTTGGTGGCAGGTTGTGCGCTCCAGGACGGGGGTGTTCACCAGTTCACCCCTGCCTACGAGCGCGTGACACACTGCACGTGTGCTCGGACGGGCCGTCACCTGGCTACCTTCACTCGGCAGCCGGGGTCGGACCTGTACACACTGACCACTGAGTCCCCTCAGGTAGCTGCGTCCGCGTCCGCGTCTGCGTCAGGCCAGCTGTCGGCCCCCTGCTCGTGTCGCTCTCTGGCGCACGACACCGTCCTCTGGCACCACCGACTTGGCCACCCGTCTGTGCAGCGCCTTCGTGCCATGCACAAACGGCACCTTGTCTCTGGTCTTCCCAGGGTTCTCCCTCCCCTCCCGCCCTCGCCTGCTCCTCCCTGTCTTCCCTGTGTCGAGGGGCGGCAGCGCGCTGCTCCTCACTCCTCCTCCTTTCCCTCGACGACTGCTCCCTTGCAGACGCTCCACATGGACGTGTGGGGCCCAGCCCGCATCCGTGGTCAGGGTCAGGAGAGGTACTTCCTGATAGTTGTTGACGACTACTCGCGCTACACCACAGTCTTCCCCTTGCGCACCAAGGGTGAGGTCCCTGGTGTTTTGATCCCCTGGATCAGCAGAGCTCGTCTCCAGCTAGGCAAGCGTTTTCGCTCGGACTTTCCTGTCCTGCGCTTGCACTCCGAAAGAGGTGGTGAGTTCTCCTCCGACCTCTTGGCAGCCTACTGTGCAGAGCACGGCATTGAGCAGTCGTTCACGCTTCCGGCCTCTCCACAGCAGAATGGGGTTGCTGAGCGCCGCATTGGCTTGGTCATGGAGATCGCTCGTACCTCCCTGATCCATGCGGCTGCTCCCCACTTTCTGTGGCCGTTTGCGGTCCGCTACGCTGCGCATCAGCTCAACCTCTGGCCCCGTGTCTCCTTACCGGAGACTTCCCCGACACTGCGTTGGACGGGAGAGGTTGGCGATGCGTCGCGTTTTCGGGTCTGGGGATCCCGAGCTTTTGTTCGCGACACGTCCGCGGACAAGCTCTCCCGTCGCGCAGTCCCCTGTGTCTTTCTTGGCTTTGTCCCGGACGCGCCTGGTTGGCAGTTTTACCACGTCACCTCGCGCCGGGTTCTGCCCTCTCAGGACGTCACCTTTGACGAGTCCGTCCCCTTCTACCGCCTCTTCCCCTACCGCACTGCCCCGCTCCCCCCTCCGCCTCTCTTCCTCGCGCCAGGTGCTGCTGTCGCAGACCCCCTCCCCCCTCAGGGTGCCGCTCCCTCAGGTGTGTCCCAGGTAGACCCGGTTGAGCCTGTCGAGGTAGCTGTCGACTCTCGTCCTGCTAGGGGTGCTGAGCCTGCGCGTGAGGAGCCTGGCGGTGCTGAGCCTGGGGGTGCGGAGCCTGGAGGTGCGGAGCCTGGAGGTGCGGAGCCTGGGGGTGCTGAGTCTGGGGGTGCTGAGTCTGGGGTGTCAGAAAGAAGAGACTGGAATGATTGAACTATGAGTGAAAGCAGTACAAGTACCAAACCTTAGAATTGTGTACCCCCTATAGGCTAACCCACTGTAGCCTAAACAAACACAACATATATAATGTTTGACACACCCCCATAGGCAAAGTGGGGGAGAGCAAGGGGTCACAAGACCAGTCAAAGCAAAGCAAAACAAGCTCAGGGTGGATCTCAAGGATACCACACAAATTCCGAGCACAAGCAAGCGGTCACAAGACCAGTTCACATGCAGGTTGATAATATAACAAGAGATACAGTGATCACAACCTAGCAAGCGTAAACATGCAGGTATATATATAAAGATCACAGTACAAGCAGGGTCAAGAAGTAAGTAAGTGAGGTCCAGCAGGCACAAGGCCTAGAAGAGTACAGAAACGCTGATGGTCACAAGGCTGAAGCGCCTTGGTGAACACATCAGCAAGGTTGGCCTCAGTGGCCACGTAACGCAGACGAAGCTGACCACGCTGCTGCAGCTCTTGAGCAAGGAAGTACCGAAGGGTGACGTGCTTCGTTCTGTGCTCCAGTCTGTGCTCCTCACACAAGGCAATGGCAGCCTTGTTGTCGACGTACAGCACTGGAGGAGAACGAGGCTGCTCTCCCAAGTCGGTCAGCAGGTAGGTCAGCCAGCGAAGCTCCTGGGCAGCCATGGCTGTGGCGTAGATCTCAGCCTCACAACTGGAGCTGAGAACAAAAGAAGAGCGTGTAGAACGCCAAGAAACTGAGCCGGAGCCAAGGCTGAAGGTGTAACCCTGAGACGACCGCTGAGTAGCCTGGTCGTCCGCCCAAGAAGCGTCTGAGTGTCCAGTAAGTACAACTCGGTCTCGCCCTCCAAGCACTAGCCCCATGCCCGACGTACTGCACAAGTAGCGCAACACCCTCTTAGCGGCATCCATGTGCTCCTTCCTGTGACGGCCAGGAGCAACAAAGCGTGCAAGGATGCTAAGAGGGTATGCAAGGTCAGGTCGAGTGCAGGTCATCAGGTACATGAGGCAGCCCACAAGCTCTGGATACGGGCCACTCGGCTCTACGGACTCATCCGAAGGCAGAGCTGAGAGCGAGTGACCGGTAGGCAGAGGAGTGGACTGAGGCGAGGAGTACGTGAAGCGGAAGCGCTGAAGGATCTGCTGCACCATGTGTGACTGAGTCAGGGTGATGGTGCGCCGTGCTCTGTCCCGGGTGATCCGCAAGCCAAGATAGCTTGTCAGTTCACCCAGGTCTGTACACGTGTGTCTCCTCTGCAGCTCCGACTTCACGTGGGCGAGTGCCACGGTGTCAGCAGTGGCAAAGACCAAGTCGTCGACGTACACGAGGATGTAGAACGGCGGCAGTGAGGTGTCTGTGCGTAGAAACAGTGACGGGTCAGCAGTAGAGGGAGCGAACCCAAGAGCCGCAAGTGTCGTCCTCAGTGTGTCGTGCCACTCACGCGGTGCCTGGCGGAGACCGTAGACCGGCCGCTGAAGTCTCCACTGGGTACCAGGAGGAACCGACCCAGTGAAGCCAGGAGGGCGGCGCAGCCAGATCTCCTCGTGTAGGCTGCCCTGCAAGAAAGCAGTGCTGAAGTCAAGTGAGTGAAGCTCGTAGTCGCGCTGAGCGGCTATGTGCAGCAGCACCCGAAGAGTGGTCATCTTCGGGGTGGGGGAGAAGGTCTGAAAGAAGTCAACTCCCTCTCGCTGACTGAAGCCTCGAGCCACGTAGCGCGCCTTGAAGACAGGAGGAGAACCCGGCGGCCGCTTCACCCTGAAAATCCACATGCCACTGACGATGTTCGCCCCAGGTGGGGGAACCTCGTCGACGTAGGTGCGTGTGGACTTCCAGGAAGCCATCTCTGCGTCCATGGCTGTCTGCCACTGAGAGGAGTAGGGACCCGCCATCGCCTCAGCGTAAGTGCGCGGGGTCGGAATGTCTGGTGCATCCGGGTCTCCCTCAGGGGCAACTAGCATGGACACGAGATGGGGCAAAGCAGCAGCAAAGCACTGGAACTCCTCCTGTCTGTCCTCAAGGACGTCCGTGCCAAGAGCACACTCACCCCCGACGGACGGTGGTGTGCTCTGTAGCGAGTACAACCCTTCTAGGGTTTGCTATTTGTATCCCCATTCTTGCTAGTTCAGTCCTCTTTTGCCTAATTCTCTCGACATGCTATCAGAGCAGGACGATCCTGTTGGGTCGATCCTGTGGGTGGGCCCACCACCAAATGCTTCCGCTGCTGTTCTACTGGTCGCGCGACGCCTCCTTCCTGCCGCGGATTTTTACGGATTTTTCATCCCGCCGCGCGCTCGGGGCGTGCGGCGGGTTTCTCCCCGCCGTGCGCCCCGAGGCGCGCGGCGGTTTCCTCCCGTGGGGGATGCCCGCGTCCCCCCGATCCCGTCGCCCGCGGCCCCGCTTTCCCGTCGCCCGCGGCCCCTCGGTCCCGTCGCCCGTGGTCCCCCCGATCCCGTCGCCCGCGGCCCCGCTTTCCCGTCGCCCGCGGCCCCTTGGTCCCGTCGCCCGCGGCCCCCCCCCCCCCCGATCCCGTCGCCCGAGGCCCCGCTTTCCCGTCGCCCGCGGCCCCTCAATTCCGTCGCCCGCGGCCCCGCTTTCCCGTCGCCCGCGGCCCCTCGGTCCCGTCGCCCGCGCCCCCCCCCCCCCCAATTCCAGTCGCGGCGCCCTAAGGAGCCGCGCGCGGCCCCTCGCTGCCCCGTGGTGGCGTCCTGGGGGCCGCGCGCCGTCCCCCTCGCCGTCCCCCGCGCTCCTTCCCCCGTTCCGCCCGTTTTAGGGTTTGGGGGTGGAGAGTGTGGGGGTGGCGGCTATGGGGGTGTCGGTTGTGAGTTCCTCCCCCTGCTCCTCCTCCTCCCTCGTCTCCCTCTGC